TCTTCTGGCCAAAGCATATGCCACGTGAGTTCCACAAGCTCCACTTTTTATTGTCCTACAACTGAACAGCTTCACTCATTGATAACCTTCTTAAAACTGGAAATCATTTGGCTTCACAAATGCTATATTAAATAATACTTCAAACCTCAAATGGCTTTAAAATTATGAGATGTTATCTATAGACAACTACCTATTAAAACAGGAAAGATATTTTTACTCAGTATTTTCAGCTACATATTCTTGTACTTCAAGAATTCTCATGCAATGTGACTCCTTGCATGGGGCACCCTGAGAGGGAGACTGAGACTGGGCATGGTGGCATGAGCGTGTAAGATCAGTGCTTGGGAGGATGAAAATGGGAGGACTGCTGAGTCTGATCTATGTAGTGAGACCCTGTACTAAATACATAAAAAAATTCTCATGCAAAACATCTCTTGATTAATACTATATCTTCTTATAATAGTACAATTTATAATGAACACAGGTATCCTCTTATAAGAAAATTTGACATAAGAAATTAGGGAGCCAATTATTCAAACAAAAGACACAAATTGGCAGAATGGATCAAGAAACAGAACCCAACTGTCATAGAATCATTCCTTTAAAAATAGCTCACCAATTAAATGTATTCCAGATCCTTCTTGCCCTAAGCAAAGATTTGGAGGAGACAAGCCAAAAATAGACAAGCCAAAAGTTTATTTGAAAAATGAGGGGTGAATAGCTAAAAGAAGAACTAGCTCTGTAGTGCAAACTTGGGTCAAACAAAAGAAAGGAGTCCAGAATATGCAGAGATTGCTAGCATGAGGATTTTTGTGGTGGTAGTTTCTTTTATGCTACGCACACTTCATGGGAGCCTACAAGAAATTTCACATATGGGGGCCTGGGAATTATTTGGCACTGTCCTGGGTTCCTATAATCTACCGGTCAAGCTTATTTTCCCAACCAGGTTTTCCACCCCCTAAATCACATACCACAATTATATGCACTGTACAAGAGAACACACTTAATTCAGAAAGAAATTTGTACAAAAAAAAAAAAAAAAATCAAAGGATGAAAAACAATATTCTATGAACAAGAAACAGAAAAAAGCAGGAATAGTTATCCTAATGCCAGATAAGGTGAATTTCAAGCTAAAATTGATTTGAAAAAAAAAAAAAAAAAGACAAAGAGCTAGGTGTGGTGATGCACACCTGAAATCCCAGCATTCGGGAGGCTGAGGCAGAAGGACTACCAAGAGTTCAAGGGCAGCCTGGACAACACAAGTCAGTTCAAGGCCAGCCTGAACTACCTAGCAACACTCTGTATCAAAAGAAAACCAAAGGAAAAAGAAAAAAAGATGAAGTCACTGCATATTTGTTAAGGGAAAAATTTAACAGAAAAAGATAACATCATAAACATACATGTATCAAACATTGGGGGCATCCAACTTTATAAAACAAACACTAATGGCCACAAAAATGAGAAATATACCATCACAATTATAATAGAGGATCTTAGTACTCCACTGTATAGTTTAATAAATAAACTAGACAAAAAAAAAAAGAACTATCAGAGTTGAACCAATCCTTTAAACACATGAACTTAACAGATATCCACAGAACATTCCATCCAAAAACAACAGAATATACTTTATTATCAGCAGCACATGGGACTTTCTCCAAAACAGACCAGATGCAAGCTCATAAAGCATGATTATGTAAATGAAAAAGAACTAAAATTACCCTATGTATATTATCAAATCATAATGCAATGAAACTAGAAATCAGCTTTTTTTTTTTTTTGTACCAGGGGTCAAATTCAGGACCTTGCACTTGCCAGTCAGGTACTTATGCTGCTGAGCCATCTCTCCAGCTTTGAAACTAGAAACCAATGGCAAAAGAAAGAACAGAAACTATGCAAACACTTGGAAATTAAATAATTCCCTCTTTAATAATCAATGGATTATTAAATCTATTATTATAGACAAAATTAGAGAAATCCTAGAATCAAATGATAATGCCAGCACAACATACTGGAACCTATCAGATATGATGGAAGCACTCCTAAAGGGGAAGTTTATAGCTATGAATGCCAAGTCAGAAAAAGAGAGAGCTTAAATAATCTGATAATGTATTTTCAGGGCCTAAAAAACAACAGAAAGAGAGGGCTTGGAAGTCTAAGCACCTGCTTGGCAAGCACAAAGACCCAGGTTTGATCCCCAGGTACCATCACTATGAGTTCAAGTTGCATAGAAAGACCCTGTAACAAATATATATGTGTGTGTGTGTGTGTGTGTGTGTGTGTGTGTTTAAAGAAGTAGGACCTTCAGGAGGTGATTAGGTCATAGGGTAAAGGCTTCATGAATGGGATTAGCCCATGTATTAGTTACATTTTCATTGCTAGGACAAAATACCACACACTTACAACTTAACAAAAGAGGGTTTACTCTGGCTCAGTGTCAAAGGTTTCAGCCCTTGGTTGGCAGTTCCACGGTGGAAACATCAAGTCTGAAGAACATGGCATAGGGAAGCTGCTGAATTCATGGCATTCAGGAGAATTTAGGGGAAAGGTTAGAGAAGAAAGGGCCAGGGGTCAAATACAGTCCTCAAGGTCAATCTGCCATGACCCATCCACACACACCTCCAAAGGCATGTTACAGATCTCCCAAGTGTCTCTCAATCCAATCAAGTTGGCAATTAGGATTAACTACCATAGTACTCTTTTACAAAACCCCAGAAAGTTCCCTCTATCTCCCAAGTGAGGACAAAACAAGAAGAGTACTGTCTATCAACTAAAAGCAAGCCCACAATAGCCACCAAATCTTCTGGTGCCTTCATCTTTTACTTTCTAGCTTTTAGAACTGTGAGAAATTTTTGTTGGCAATAAGCCACCTAATCAATGGCATTAATGTTAGAGAACCTCAGACAAAAACATTGCTGTAACTAATTACTCAAACTTAATGGCTCACAGCAAAACTAATGTGTTATCTTGCAGTTCTAGACACCAGAAATCTAAAATATATCCATAAGGTTACTTTCCTTTTGGAGACTCTAGGAGAGCCCATGCCTTTTCTGGCTCCTTAAGACCCATAATCTTTGTCTTACAACCCCTTCCTCTATCTTCAAAGCAGTGCAGCATCTCCACTGTTTTCTATTTCTGTCATTACATCTCCCTAGTCCTCTTCCTCTGCCTCATTTAAGGATTTTTATCATTCCAATGGATTGATCTGAATAATCCATTTGTCTCAGAATCCTTCATTTAATCACAATTACAAAATAACTTAACAGATTACTTAACTTAGTCACGTTTCCAGTAATTGAAACAAAGACATGTATGGGAAGGATCATTATGTTGCCTATTACTCTATTCATACATCGACCGTAGACCACAATAATTTTAAGACATGATTTCATGTGCAGAAATCTAATTGACATAGAACTCTTCTGGAACATCCTTAAACATACAATTTTAACAATAGTAAAAAGTAGCAAAAGTCCATTCTTTCCATTACCAAGCTGCCTTGCAGGAAAGAATGACTATCTCTATAAAGGCCCATTTCATTTCTCCAGAGAAACAGAAATTACTAAATGCCCACTGAAAGAGCAGACAAGATATATCTAACCAGTTCTGATGTAAAACCATACTACACACATAAATTTGTACTGTCAAAAACCTTGAATGGTCCATAATCTGCAATTTTTCTTGCTTATGAAAACCTTATCAGTTGAATAATGTAAAAACATTGCATGCCCACTTCTCTCCCTTACAATTCCTATCCTTAAACATGAGACCATCTCGCCTGTGTCTTTGCGCATTACTCCTTCTGCTTGAAACATTTTACCTTTTTGAGTCACTTCTTTCTGCAACCTCTCTGCAACTATAAAACAGTACCTCTAGTCTCCGTTAGCACTGATACACTGCGAAACTGTTCTATTTGTTTAGCTTTTGTTGCTTCCAAAGAGAATACAAATTCGTTGAAAGAAATAACGTGTCTTCCCAAACTTTCTTGGGATAGAGCAGCCTCTCTTGTTTTTTGAGTACATGGAGTGCAGGTAGTACAATTGAGACTAAACAGCACCGCTCATAGAAAATACAAAGTGGAGAAAATAAAAAACCGAATGGAGACAGTGTAGGAGCTATAGTCCCTACCACTTCTAACGCAAAATGAAACAAAATAATATTTAAATACTTCGATGATGCTTACACAATATCAGGCAGTGTTCTAAGCGTCTTATATGTATGGACTTCTTCCTCATAAAAAATACGCCCATCACCTGTCTTTTGCAGACGAATAACGTCAAGCACATAGAAGGTTAAGTAACTTGCCCCAAGTCACTGAATTAATTCCTCAGAGGCAGAGTCTGAATTTGAACACGGGTAGCTTATAGTCCTTTTAAGTACAACTTGATAGTGCCGCTCCAAAAAAAGCTCAGTGGTTGGTAGGGCGGCCCCACGAAGGTTTGTGTGGCCCGTAAAAATGTCCATGGACTTAACAGGACTGGACGGATAACAAGAAATGGACAATATATTCAACATCACTCCACGGTAGCAAGAGTACCGTCTATCGCAACACGGAATGTTCTAAATTCCGGGCAACCTCCGTCTCGGTCCAACTCGGTCTGACATTCCTCCGGCAAGAGCGTCCCCGCCCGTCGCCTCAACTCCAGTCCTCTCCCCATTCCCCGGCTCCCCGTTTGCGGCACTAGTGCTTCTCCTAGAACCCGCTCCAAACCCTCTTGGGCTCTCAAGGACACAGGTTAGTTCTCTCACCCATGAGACAGCAATACCTGCCCAGCCTCAACCCAGCTAGGACTGAGGAAGAGTAAAGGGCCCCGCTTTCCCAGGCGCGCTGCACTACATACAGAACTGGAGTTTCGCTTTCCGAAACCGGCGCCTCGAACCTTAGACGCCAAACCACGCAGGCGCCGTACCCTGCGCATGCGCACTAGCGACAGCCGGCTCCTCTCCCCCCGCCCCGCACCCTAATGACGCAGATCGTCTGCGACGCCTAGCGAGGTGGGCTCGTGGTGTTGCGGGAGGAATCCGTTGCTTCGAGCACCTATGACCCGATACCATGAAAGAAACGCCACTGTCGAACTGTGAGCGCCGCTTCCTGCTCCGCGCCATCGAAGAAAAGAAGGTAAACGGCCCCTGCAGAACTGGGCGCCGCTGGGTCGCGTCGTGAGGGCTCCCAGCGGCGCCTGGCGCGGTATCCCGACTCTGGAGGTTCCTGTGGGCCGTCGGGTCTTCTCCGTGCTCGGGTCGTCGGAGCCACTGTCAGGGCCGGCCGCCTCGGGGCCACTTTCTTTTTGGACTGGCGTAGTGAGGTGCTACTCTTCCTCCAAGTGCTCCCCACCCTCCGCCGGGGCCACAGAGTAGTTGCTCAAGAAATATTTGTGGGAGGAATAAATAAATAAATGTTTTATTTGCAGCGGCTGGATGGTAGACAGACCTACGATTACAGGAACATCAAGATCTCGTTTGGAACCGATTATGGGTGCTGTATTGTGGAGCTTGGGAAAACAAGGTAACAGGATTCGTGTTAGATTAGAATTCAGCCCAGAGCCAGGCGTGGTGGCACACGCTTGGGAGATAGCACACGGGAGGCCGGGGCAGGGGGTTGCCTCAAGTTTGAGGCCGGTCTGGTTTACTTACATCAGGGCCAGCCTGGACTGCAGAATGTAACCCTGACTCAAACAAAAAAATTCAACCAAGAGACCTTTGAAAATAAACTTTGTGACTCAACTTTTACAGAGCAGCTCAGAGATGTGGAAAGTATTTTAACAGCCAAAAATAAGTTACCCATAAATGTAAAACATTTTGAATTTGTGGTCGTGCTTTAAATTTTTAATCATAAAGATGTTTTCTGACCTTTAATGTATTTTACATATAATTTCTACCTTTTATGATGTGTCACAACACTGAGGTTGTTACTTAGAGTAAGATTAAAATTTTTTTTTTTTTTTTTGTGGAACTGGGGATTGAACTGAGGCATTTGCGCTTGCCAGGCAAGCACTTACTCTACTGAGCTATCTCCCCAGCCCCCTAAAATCTAATTGCTGTTAGATTTTCTTATTTTTAATTAAAAAAATACATTTAGTTAATTGTACTTTTATCTTTGTAGAGTTCTTGGGCAGGTGTCTTGTGAACTTGTTGCTCCAAAACTCAACAGGGCAACAGAAGGTATTCTTTTCTTCAACCTTGAACTCTCTCAGATGGCTGCTCCATCTTTTGAACCTGGCAGGTATTTAAATCTTTTTCTTAAGTTGCTTTAGCCATCAAAGAACCTAACAGCTATAAGCTGTTGTTTGAATGCCTGGTATTATTTCATGATACTGACCCGATTTCTATTTTCATAGGCAGTCAGATCTCTTGGTAAAACTGAATCGACTCCTGGAAAGATGTCTAAGAAATTCAAAGTGCATAGATACTGAATCTCTCTGTGTTGTTGCTGGTGAAAAGGTGGGGAATATTTCCAGCATTCTTAATTTTAGGATGAGGAGTGTTGGTTTGTTGGTTCCTAAGTTTATGCTTTCATTCTCAAAGCTTTACTGAATTTTCTTTTGTACTAGTTTGTGTCACTAAAAATGTTTGAGTGGACACTCTTAGAACTTTTTGCTGTCTTTCTGTGAAAGAGTGAAAAGTATAACTTAAAATAATTTTATCAATTTGTATATGTGTATATATACGTAATATATATGTGTGTGTTATATATAACTTTATTCAGAGATTATGGCTTTTTATATGACTTGTCATTTTCTTAAATTGATTCGATAGGAGCAGGTGCTATTTTCCTTTTTTATGAAGGAAGAACAGATTAAATCCTTTGATTTATAAAGCCACACAGTGAGTCAGTGATGAGTTTGTATTTAAAATTTTAGTCTCAAGAAGTTTTGCTACATGAGGATTTTAGAAATTTATTGTATGATGACTTGCCTTTTCTTTTTTTGTACTGGGGTTTCAGCTAAGGGCTTTCAGACTTTTTTAAATTTAATTTAATTTTTTTTTGGCAGAGCCGGGGATTGAACTCAGACCCTTGCGCTTACCAGGCAAGCGCTTCTTTTACTGACCTATCTCTTTGGCCCAGGGCTTTCACACTGAGCTATGCCTGAGTCCTATTTATTTTTGAGACACTAAGTTTGCCCAGGCTGGGCTCAAATTTGCAATCCTATCTCAGCCTCCTACTCCAAAAACCCTAAGATTACAGCATGTACCACTATGCACATTTGGCTAACTTTTTTACTCTGCATAAGTCATTTAGCTTTCTACACTCTGTACTTGAGTGTAGTACTTTTATTTGCAATCTTTACAAGGTTATCATAAATTTATCCTAAAGTATAAGATATGTGTTCAGACACAATTAAAAACATAATAGATATAAGATTGGATTGGTTGTAGTAGTTCCGTTTATTTCACATAGAAAAATGAGTTAACATTTCAGATACTTGTTTGGCTTCAAGTTTTGGCCATTTTTATTGATAAAGTATTAACAGCGTGTTTTAATTTCAGTTATTGTTTATGTACAGGCCGGGCATGGGGGTGAATGCCTCCTAGCACCTGGGTGGCTGAGGCAGGAGGATCAGTTTGAGTTCAAGGATAGTCTGAACTATATAGTGAGACTCTATCTCCAAATATGAAATACCATATCATACCAAACCTAATAGTATAAAATGTTTATGCACAGTGTTACTGTTTTCCTGATGAATAGCCACTGTTTGTGATATTTGTGATCAGTGAGGATTTTTTTTCATCTTAAATTCCCTTTCAGGTTTGGCAAATACGTGTGGACCTACATTTATTAAATCATGATGGAAATATTATTGATGCTGCCAGCATTGCTGCAATTGTGGCCTTGTGTCACTTCCGAAGACCTGATGTCTCTGTCCAAGGAGAAGAAGTCACACTGGTAAGCATCCATGATTTGAACCAGCATACTTTTCTATGAATGAATATCCTACGTGTACCGACAACTTATTATTAATAAAATCATGTTGCAGGGGCCGGGAAGATGGCTCAGTGGAATAAATGCTTCCTTTGCAAGTGCAAGGACCTGAGTTCAATCCCCGGTGCCAGGGAAAAAAAAAGAAAAAAATGACAGAATCTGTTTGTGAAGCATAAGCTACAATGTGGTCAGAATTGCCCTAGAAATCTCTTAAGTGTTCTTTATTGAATTGTCCGTCAATATGAAAACATCCTAGTTTGGATTTCCACATTAGTAAGAGATGACTGCTTTTTTTGTGTATTAGGTGAAATGGCTGGCTTATGTTTAGTGTTCATGATTGAAAAATACAGGAGTCTCAGTACAGTGAGGTGTTAATAACTAAAGAGGACTGCAATTCACCAGATTCATTAGGACTTTTATTCATTAGGCAAAATATATGCCAGAATTCTTCCAGAAATACTTGAGGGGCTTGATAATACATGTCACTAGGCTCAACTTCCAGAGCAGAAGAGGCAGGACCCAAGGGTTTTACTTCTCAGAATCACTGGGTGATGCTGATGGTGCTGGTCCAGAGACCACATTTTAACATTGATCTATGGTGATTGTTGCCTGTATGTTTTACTTAATGTTATACGCTAAGAGTAGATTTTTTTTTTTTTTTAAGAGTAGATTTTATGGGCTATAAATTGTACCTCAAAGGTTTTGAAAAATACATACTGTTTTGGGAACCATTAAATGTCAGAGTTAACAGGTGATTTTAAAATTTTTAGGTACTCTGAAAATTAAAGGAATTTCATTTTTTGATTCACTAGATTTTTTTTATATTCAAAAATTAGTGACTGTCAATAATGAACCTTTTCTTTTGAAATAGTACACACCTGAAGAGCGTGATCCTGTAGCATTAAGCATCCACCACATGCCGATTTGTGTCAGTTTTGCCTTCTTTCAACAAGGGTAAGTCTTATCTTGTCCTGGGCTAAAATGATAAATGCAGCTAGAAATCTTATTACTCTAACTCACAAGTGTCATAGATGAGTGAATGAATGAATCTCTCATTTAATAGTAAAGTACCACATGAGGTGGAGTGAAGGTGAAAAAGAATCAGTGTGTAATGTACATGTATAGATTTCCTCCAATGAATGTAGTCATTATGTAATATAGACGTGTACTAATAAACATTTGATATAAAAGATTAAAGTATCTTATATTTCTTTGTAAGGGCATTAGATGGCAAAAAACTTTCTCAATAGAAATGACAAAGCTCTTCTATAATTATTTTTGGTCATATGTTGCTTTTCATGCTATAATTTTGAATTTACTGTGTCACCTTTTTAGTGACTCATAGATATTAATAAAATCACATGTGAGGCTCTAATTTGGGGAAATAATAAAAATTACTGTGAATTAGTGCAAGACATATACTTAAGCATATTACAAGAGTGCAGTAGTTCTAGCAGTAGGTTACAGTGAAGAATGATTTGCAAATGGGGGAAAATCTTGGCTTCCTTCAGCTGTGTGCTAGTTTCTGTATAGTTCATTTCTTTATCCTCTTGCAGCAGAAAACTAGTAGTCTTTTCAGTCTGTATAATGAATCATTAAGTGCAAGTTAACACCTAAATCTTCAGAAACAAAAAAGAGATATACTTTATTGATAAACTAAGTTCTATCTATAAGAACTAGAGAAAATATTTTAGTCATTGTAGTGTAGAATTTTATTACAGGGAAATAGAATAAATAGCATTGCCTAATAGAAATTAAATGTAAGCCATATAAATAATTTTAAATTTTCTAGTAATCTTATTAAAAGGTAAAAAGAAATAGGTAACATTAAATTTGCTATACTTAATATAAAGATATATTCAGTGGCTTAATATTATTCGTATTATACACCCAAATTCTCTATGATGAATATGATCATCATGTAAAACATAAATAAAATTCTTAATGTTAATTCTACATTCTTTCATTTCCACTGATCTTTGAAATCTAGTATTGTACCTACTAAGTTTGCAGTAATCACATTTCAAGGGCTCCATACCTGTATATGACTATTGGCAAATGTATTGAATATTGCGGAAATAGTAATTTTTTAAGGTGCAATTTGCAGAACCTAGACAAACAGTATGTAACAGTAAGTTTTAACTCTCTATTACAGTGACTCACATCCACAGGCGTGGGCCTTCACTGTGTTCATTTATTGATCTCATTTTTTAAAAAATCCATTGTCCTAAAAACGACAAGCATTCTGCTTAAGATTTGTGCAGGACCATTTAATACTCATTTCAGAACATACTTACTGGTGGATCCCAATGAACGAGAAGAACGTGTGATGGATGGCTTGCTGGTAATTGCCATGAACAAGCACCGAGAGATCTGCACCATCCAGTCCAGTGGTGGAATAATGCTACTAAAAGATCAAGTTAGTGCTTTAATGCCTTTTAAAGAATAGATCTCTCTTTAGAAGCTTTTCATCTTTTAACCAGAAGCCAATGAAGGTTGTTTTGATTCCAGGTTGGGTTAGTGCCTGGTTTCAGTACAATCATTACATTCTGTTGACCGGCAGCTATAAGATCTTTTCCCTCTTCTCACTGCTGCCTGGTCTGGCCCTTCAGCTATAGGAATACTATTTTTCTTTGAGTGAACAATGATAGATAACCATTTTTAAAAAAAATAGAAATCCGGTTAAACAATAGTTTTAGAATTCGGGTACAGCTACCAGTGGTTCTCAAACCCACCTATCAGATTCACATGGAAGTTTTAAGGAAATAAGAATGTCATATAGCATATAGTATTTATCTGGTTAACAGCAAAGGAGCACCTTAGTTCACATTTTAGCTCTGCCTTATACTGACTTTATATAAATGATTTCATAATCTAAAATAGGGAATGACATTACCAACACTTTCTGCCTAGGACATCTATCTGTCTGTCTATCAATAAACAGTTCCGCTACCATCATAATTAGCATTAGTGTCACAGCCACTACCCAGATTCCTGTTTCTGTAGTTTATTGACAAGAAAGGAAATTAGTGCTTCCCTGAACATATCTGTGTGTCCATGACCTCTTCCATGGGATCTCGTTTTTGAGTCTGTTCCCTTAATTGGATATTCCTTCAGACTTTTTATAAGAACTCTAGCATCATGTCTTAATTTGATTTTACAATTTTTTTTTGATGGTACTGGGAATCTAACTCAGGATCTTGGCCTGACCAGGCAGGTGCTATGCCACTGAGCCTTATCCCCAACCCTTATTTTTGTATTTGAAAAAGAGGGGTAAAAAAAATAATTTCATTAGAGAAAGCCATTTTGTTTGTGGTTGTTTGTTGTCCTTAACACAATTCACATTTACAAATAGGTTTTGAGATGCAGTAAAATAGCTGGTGTGAAAGTAGCAGAAATTACAGAGCTTATACAGAAAGCTTTGGAAAATGACCAGAAAGTGAGGTAAGTTTTTCAAAACTAAGTGGTCTTTTTATATCTATCAATAAACAGTTTCCGCTTACTAAGGACTTTTCTTACATAAGAGCAACCCATGTGATTCTTTTTTTTTGAGACAGGTCTTGCTATGTGATTTTTTTTTTTTTTTTTTTTTCATGGTACTGGGGATCAAACTCAAGACCTTGTGCTTGCCAGGCACGCACCTCGGCCACTGAGCTGTATCTCTAGCCCCGTGCTATATCGTGTAGGATGGTTCCAAACTATGTAGCCCAGGCCAGCTTTGAACTCCCAATAGTCCTCCTGCCTCAGCTTCTCCGAGTGCTAAGGTTATAGTTATGTACCACTATACCCAGTCATGATTGTCATATTTGGTCTGTATTTATTAAATCTCCTTTGTAAATGTGTTTTAAAGAGTTGAGTAGTCTGTTTTATTCCAGTGTAAACATAACTTGTATTGAAAATCCACGTAAGTTTTTTCTTTAAAAAGTTAACATTTTGTATCTAGTAAAGATAAACAGGTTGATTCCCATTTCATACTGTGTGATCTGAAGCAAGATACATAATGTAGTGACCAGTGTCCTTTTCTGTCATATACAAGGGTAATGCTATTCTCAGAGGGGTGATTTGTGGATTAGAGAATGTACATACTTCTAAGCATCTAGCACATGCCTAACACATAGTTCAGTAAAATTTCTCCTGATAGGGATAATAAATTGGTGGGGTTGTTAGTCAGATAAACTATTTGATATTCCTCACTCAGCAAAGGCTAATTTTTTTCCCCTTTCCTGTCTTTTCTCTCATGTCATCATCCCACTTCTTCAAAAACTAACCAAACCTCACATACAGGAAAGAAGGTGGAAAGTTTGGCTTTGCAGAATCTATAGCAAATCAAAGGATCACAACATTTAAAATGGAAAAAGCCCCCATTGACACTTCTGATGTCGAGGAAAAAGCAGAAGAAATCATTGCTGAAGCTGAACCTCCTTCAGAAGTGTATCTTTATTCGGTGATCTTTGTAGTAACAAGATTTGTAACACTTTGGGCTTTATTAAAGCTGTATGTGCACACTGACATTTGTTTTCTGAAATATGTTAAACACTTGAAAACTTAATGATATGAGCCATATTAAGTTGATGGTGTCATGCTAAGTTTCTGTCAGTTACACTGCAAAAATGAGAAAATTATTTTAAGAACCCGTTAGGAGCAGAGGATATAGATGAGAAGAGCATCTGCCTACAGCAGTAGTGGCAAGCTTGTGGCACACTTGCAGCATCAGGCTATCGTCAAAAGCTCCAGAAAGTTTCTGTAGCATGTGCAAGGCCCCAGGTTTAATTTACCACAGCAAAGAAACAAAGTGCACAGCATTTTTACTAACATTAATAGCATGGTGAAAGACTATACACTGTAATACATTGCTGTATTTTTGTGATGGTGAGTAACAAATCTAGGGCATGTGTGCTAGAAGCAATCTACCATTGAGTGCTGCTTCCAGCCCCACTACCATACTCAAAATTATTCATAATTTGTTACTATAGCTAGAATATCGAGGGCCTGTTATGTTACATGGTGTTTATAAACTCGTTTTGAGATTTTTTCATCCAATAGCCTTCCATAGTATAGCTCTTCCCATTTTTCTTATTTTTTCCTTGAGAAATTGAACATTTGAGTCAGTCTTACCAGGTAGCAATGCTTATTCTTCAGTTTTCTTAACTTGTTAAGTGTTTCTAAACCTGTTCTCTGGACCTCTGGAACTGCCCAGATTGGAGAGGGAGTAGAAAACTCCTGGGGTGATCTTGAAGACTCTGAGAAAGATGAAGATGAAGGTGGCAGTGATGAAGCTGTCATTCTTGACAAGATGAAAATGGACACTGGAGTAGAAGTTTCTGATATTGGAAGCCAAGGTAAGTGATTTGTAGCTTTTAGGTGATCTGTTGGTCTATAAAGTGTATGTACAGATAGTGTATATTAACTACATATGGATAAACAATTATAAATATTAACACACCTACATATAGGGACATGCTTTTCCTTTTTAGGAGGGGCTGTTTTGTAATTGAAATTTCAACTAAGACTAAATTTCAACTAAATAAGACTCATGACTTTTGTACTATGAAACATTCTTTACATTGTCCACTACAGTAGCCACAACCCTTGTGTAGCTGTTAAGCATCTGACTTAGGTGTCTAAGAAACTGAATTTTGGTATAAAATTAACTACGTGAGGCAAGTGGCTACCATATTGTAGTACAGATTTGGAACTCACAGAATGCCAGTTCTGCTTGGCTGGGCTATACAATAAAACCATGAATTGCTTTTTATAGTATAAATATTACCTTGATCCTAGAACTAGTCTGGCAGATATACTTACTAGGCTTGCTGTGTTAAAGAATGCTCATAGGCCTGCCTTCATCGGAAGAAAATTATCGCTGATGAATATTATGGAGAGCCTACTGGTTACTGAAATTAGGCAAATATGTGAAGAAAAAAAAAATCACCTTTTTATTTGAATCTCATTACTCCAGAACTTTAGTGTGTATAAATATATATATTCCTTACTACCCATATATATTCATTATATAAGAATATATATCCTTATCCATATATATTCATTATATGGGTAAGGAAATAAGTTTCTTCAACACAGGGACCTGCCTTTAGAAGTTTTTCCATGTCATGGAAAAATTTTTACATTGGCCGTATTATTTTACAACTGTGGTTTCTGTATCATTGAGTGGACCTCCTTAGTTTAACCATTCCCATACTGATGAATATGTTTTCTGCATTTCTTCTAGAGTCCTTATGTTTACATGCATCTTTGATTAACATAATAATTAGACATTGTTAATTAAGTTAATAGGAATTGTTTCTGGTTTGAAAGATAATTCTTTCAATCAAATTAATGAAAAGTAGACCTAAGATAACTGGGAGGATGGAGCAGGTAAAGCCTTTCTAAATGTAAGCAAACTGAAAGACAATGAATCAACTGGGAAAAGGGTTAATTCACATTATAGCACATATGTACACACAAACGTATATAGGTACCTACAAGAGGGGCTAAGTGTTGTGTATTGTTGAAGAAAATGAGCAAAATATATGAGTTATAAAATGGAAATGACCGTTAATATCAGCTTTCTTCATTGTCAGCCATGGCAATAAAAGAAATCAAAGGGAAAAAATTGGCGTTTTTTTTTTTTTTAAACTGTGTTAGTATTAAAATCAGCATTCATAAATGTCTATGAGGAATGGATTTTTCATTTACTGTTTCTGATGGTTCTGATTGTGTATCAAAATAGCACAGATTAGCTTCATTTAGCTCAGTTACTTTAAGTGGCTGCTTCAACAAAGCAGTCAGGCTCAGGTTGCTGTGGTTTGATCCCCTGAAGGTATTTCGGAGCAAAAAAAAAAAAACAAGAATCCTCAAATCAACTCTATAAAATTACTATATATTTTCCCCTAACTTGTCTATTACAATATGTGCCAAGTACAATTTAAGGGTAATTTTGTACTCAAGAGTTTCTCCAGAGCTCCAGGGCCACTTCAGCAGAGAAAGTTTGGAAAGAACAAAGTGCATGTATTTGTAAGTTGCTAGAATAACTTGGGCTGTTAGCATAGAAATGGTTGCTTTAGAACCTGAAATTTATTTTATTTCTAAAATAAATTCATGTGGAAATTTTATATTACTTATGTTGCTTTTCTTAGATGCCCCAATAGTACTCTCAGATAGTGAAGAAGAAGAAATGATCATTTTAGAACCTGACAAGAACCCAAAGAAAATAAGGTAACAATTCCTAGTTCATTATATATTTTATATATATTTGGACTCTTCTATAGAAAGATTTACCCCTTTCACTATAAATTCAACTATTCTGTTTCACCTTATGCTTAAAAAATAAGGGCACGCAACTTGATAAAACAGGTCTTTCAAAATTATTGTTTTTATTCTCGTAACTGCCACATTGCATGTTCTATAAAAAAAACTTATTATTTCATTTATCCAGCATGCTATCAGTGAACTGTTAATTTACTTTATTCACAGCACACAGACCAGTGCAAAACAAGAAAAAGCACCAATTAAAAAGCCAGTGAAAAGGAGAAAAAAGAAGAGAACTGCCAACTAAAGCTAACATAGTTCTGTTTGTGTATATAAAACTATTAAAAAGATATTTATTCAGTGTTAATAATGCACAGCATATGTTTTATTCACAAGTTCACAAGTCCATTAAATTGAGTTTTGGGGGCTTTAAGTGTTGTATTTTAAAATTAACCTGGGAAATGTTTTGTGTGTCAGTTTTCACAAAAGCTTTCCAACCCATCTGTAGCCTCAAAACCTTAATGGTTTAAATAACATTTTCTGTTGTACTGTACAATAACCTATAAATCAAGTTAACTTTTCCACAGAAAAAGATTTCCAAATGTGTTTATTAATTCTTGTCCTGATAGCTGGCATCATTAATACTTTACCCACTTAAAATTAGTCAAATATCTAAGTAGATACATGTACAAAAGATATACAAATTAAAACCATTTAAAAACGGATAGCATAATTTGTCCTTGGCCATAACTTCTATATTCAGAAATGATTGTGAAATTAAAACCTAAAGTAAAAACTGTACACCATTTACTCCGAGGAATTGAACAAGGGCAGTCTTCACACATTTAGTGTCTCTGGGGGGTTGAGGAGAGAAACACCGTGATACCTATAAAGAGGGGGAAAAAAAAAATCCACTTTTACTAAACATTGATGTGATGGAGATCTTACAATAGTAATACATGCACTGGAAAGTAAATGCTATTTCTTAGGTTTTTCGAATCATTGCTGATTTTAAACATGTATGCAGCTCCCCACACAAGGAAAGGTAAACTATAGCCTTCTCCAAACACATGACCTGTTAAAAGAACACTTTCTTAGTCTGATAGATTAGTGTAGCCTTTAATAAGTTTCGAAAGCATATTCTTATGTGCAGCATCTCTAGTCAAGTCTTACTTTGAATTTTTGTATTTCTCTCTTATTGACTGTTGCGCATGCTGTGGTGCTCTGAGGTAGGTCTGGTGTAGGTCCAAGAGACAAGGCTTAAGACTCTCCAGGGTATATCCAGTCTTTCGAACTAATGATTCAGGCTACAAAGGGAGTAAAAAACTAATGAGTTGTTTGGTTAGTAACAGTACAGTAGACACTAATTAACAGCTGGTTCACAAATCTTTGACAGACAACTGACATCTCATTTTCTGAGGCCACTGTTGCATGTTTAATGCTGACTTTCATTTTTATTGCTTTCCCTGCCAACAGATCAGATGGGGCAAATTCGTTAGGTGCACCTTTCAAGTCCCAAGTTTCAGCAGGTTAAGATGTCTCAAATGGTGTGCATAACTGAGCAAGTTAAGATCTAGGTAGCCATCAGCTCTGTGGGACAATTGTGAACTTCTCAGTACCAGCATTTAGTCTTAAGGTTGGCGTGAAGACTAATACATACCCAGCTTTGTCCTGTGACTGTGTAGAGTGCTAAATGAAAGGCCGCTCCAGCGATAATTGATGGCAAATACTTCAAGTATGGGTCAGCATCTATCAAACTTAATTCTCCCAAAAACTGCAATGAAAAACATCCAGGATCAAGAGCTCTAGAATGCAAATCTCAAATCTTTGCCTTCTGATAGTTTTTTTCTGTAGACTGTAGTAACCCTGGACAAAATATTCTACAGCCTTATCTTTTAGCTATACCTACTGTAGTATTTTAATGCTTTGCTCCAGTCTCCTACACTTTCCCTCTTTGAAAACAAACTATCTCCCCCAAAACTTCACCCTTAAGCCACTCCTCTCATACCCATATGATCATCTCTTGGTATCCATAGAAAAACCTCTCCAGGAACCAAAGTGCACACCCAAGTCCATTATGGGACGTACTCTCTGCAGATAGCTTACATCTTCCTGTATACTTCAAATCCTCAATATTACTTACAATACCTAATAAATATAGAAGCTCTACTGAGAGAACAAGGAAATGTCTATACATGTGCAGTATAGGTGCAAGTTTTTTACTCAATACTTTCAACCTGTGGTTGAGTCCATAATGCAGAACCCACAGATAAGGAGGCCAACTGTGTGTAGGCTTTCTGTTCCCCACAGTACAATATTCATTTGTCCCTGGATTACTGAATCTCTTGAGCAAAGCTATACTAATGAAACAAGAGCTTGCTCCTAATAAGAATCTCCAACAAAATGAAAATACCTTACCATTGCCAAGCTTTCAACTTTGCAGTTTGCAGGCTGCTGATGCAGAAAGTACTGGGTAAGAAACTGATTTACTGTTGGTGCAGCTAAGTCAAAAGCAAGGACTTTCAAAACTAAATGTTCCATTCTTAGAACTTGTTTCTTCGAGTAAGTATCATCTGTAATGTACACAAATTCTGCTACTTCTGGGGGGTATATTTCTTCAAACTTTCTAAAATGCAAAAGGTTTTAAACAGTAAGTCCTTCTAAAAGGTAAACAGCAAGGTTTCTTATCCAAATTCTGAAATCCCATTAGTAGAATGTATGGATTCTAAAACTCAGTCTACCGAATGCATTTTCACTGCAGCTGGACCATCATTTCTAGTGGCTGAAATTTAGGGAACACACGTCTAAGGAAATTAAACATGTTCCTTTTAAATCTTTGTTTTCATGTCCCAAAGAGGAGAACATTGCTTATGTGCCAGATAGCACTTCATACAGAAGAAACCAGACTTTTACAATGTGGTCTAGTCAGTTACTAAAATATAGCTAGTCTCTGTTCAAAGCACCCTGAAATCTAGATTTTAGGAAGATCAGCGTTCTGGATTAGAAAACTGTTTTTTCAACTTCTGCCAAATATCTCCAAATTAGAGCCTCTTTGCCCCATGATTCTGCTGCTTCTGGGCATGTGCATTTCTGTGTAGTATGTTGAAGTGTTATAATTTTTAAAAAGTCAATCTCTATAGAGAAGAATAGCAATGAACCCAATGAACCAAGCTGGACTTACGAGGCTAGCAGCATAGCAGCAGTGCCCACAAGCTGAAGCTTTCCTCTCAGCACAGACATTGAAGAAAGGAACCTATCGATGTAGTTCACAGCCAAATGCAGGGTCTCATTCTGCAGTTTGTATTCCTCTCCCACTTCAACTAACCAGTCCACAAGGATAGCCCTCATGCTGTTAGTGATGTCTGGCTGCTTCCTCATGTAGCCTACCTTAGGTTTACATTTAAGCTGTTGAGAAAAGTTTAGGAGTGTTAAAATTGTAAGTACATGATTTTACCATAAACAAAGATGTTACCATGAAGAAGTATTACATTAAGAGTAAGTTGCTAGTAATTTAAAATTTTAAAACATTACAGAGAGGCATGGTGGCACATGCCTGTAATTCCAGCACTGTAGGAAGCTAAAGCTGGAGAATTTCAAGTTCAAATGCACCCAGGACTAGGGATATAGCTCAGTGCAAAGGCCTGTGCATCAATTGCCAGTATCTCAAGTATAAACAAAAATATTCTCCAAATTACATTTAATTAAATATATAAACTGAAATCAAGAGCGCCTTTACCTCCATTTCCCTAAGGTATGTGTGAATATCTTCATGGTAGTCTGGTACTTCATTCACACTCACTGGCTTTTCCTCTTCTAATACAACTGACATGTCCATAGCATGTGGTGAATCTGGGACAGTTGAAAAGTTAGGATCAAATTAACTATTTAACTTTTTATTTTACACAATGTCTGCCCTTGTAAGGAATCCAACATTACTAAAGCACTTAATTGATCCAACTAAAAGACTGCTCATGACAAAGTGCACATAATATCTGACTCTGTTCATATAGCTTTAGAATATTTTTTTTTTTTTTTTTTACAGAACCAGGGATTGAACTCAGACCCTTGCGCTTATTCTACTGAGCCATCTCCCCGGCCCCTAGAATAATTTTAGAAAAAGAATTACCAATAGACTAAGCAGAGGGTGGGGTGTTATAAGAGCAGATGGTACAATGGTTCTCAGGACCAAGAACTCAACATCCAAGTTTTGAGACAGTTATCTAAGATTTGCCCTGACACACTGCAGACCTCATGGTATGACATATTCAAAGCACAGTTAGACAATAGCTGGGATCAAGTTACACAGTTTCTAATAACAAGTGTTAATATTCAGGTTTTTATGAGGTTCAAACAGATTAACACTATAATCAATAAGTGACTCAGTTTTTATAAATTATCTTTTGAAACAAAAATTTTTTCCCACTTTACTCATTTTCATGTTAAAAACTTCTTGCAAAATTTGATGGACTTGGGGTATAGCCCAGTGGCACAGCACTTTTCTACCATCCATTAGGCTGTAGGTTCAACCCCCAGCACAAAAATATATTAAGTATTGTCTTACAAAATTTAAATAAATTTCAAAATATCTTCTTGCCCCAACCCACTGGCCAATCAGTGAAACTAAAATTGAACTGGACTGGATGCAGTGAGCTATCCTGTGATGCAATAGCTCTATGGTAAAGAAACAGTACAAACTGCAGATCTGTCTTCAGCTACAAATGGGTGAGGGCAAATCGACATCTTCTGACTTGCCGTCAGACTCACTTTCTGGCATCACACAATATACTCAAACTTTACAGAAAGAGATGTTGGTTTTCACAGCACATAAGACCCTGCTCTACCTGTACTCTCTGAAGTGGAGGTAAGAGGCCAGTTTTAGGAATACAAGCAAACATTTATTTGTGGAACAGATTAAGCATTCAAGATCTAATCACAGCAGTCCTGGCAGAGTGCCAGATTAGGAGTTGGTACTTTTGTAGGTCACTAGGTCAAGTGTTAGCAGTGACATCTAAAATATATTACGCTCATCCTAAGCCTATTAAGAGTAAAACTAACTCACTGTTATCATAATAAGCAGGTAAAGCAATGTCTCAACATGCAAAACATTAACCTCATCAAGTAAGTATAATAATTTGATAAAGATTTTCTTTAACACTTACCAAAACTACCATCCATTGGATAATCGAGAGGTACCAGTGGTTTTCTGGGTCCAGGTAAAGCAACAGCTGCATTAAAAGCCAGGACATCTTCACATTCTGGCTTTGTAGATTCTGGTGGCCTCTTCTGAGTGTCTTCTGCTTCATCCACGTGGATGGTGAAGGCGGGCGGTTTACTATTTGCTTTCCAAGGCGGCAAGGCAGCAATGTTCTCATCATTGACAGGAAGATCTTTAAGAGGTGCAACCTAAAGGAAAATTACTTAGGCTTTCAACTTAGTAAATGCAGCTTGTCTTCTTCCCCTTAGGGGTCTAAGCCTTTGCTTTACTTTCAACTTATCAGAAAAATTAAACTTTCTGAAACAAATATCCAGTAATAGTTTTGACCAATCAAGCCGATGCTTCAATTTTTCACAGGCATTCCTACAAAGACTA